GTTAACAGTATTGTAAGTATTGTATTAAATCAGTTATAAACTTATTTAAACCACTAAAGTTAGTGTTTTCATTGTGTGACATTTAAATCATTGACAGAGAAGAAGCTAGTGGCATCCTTTCTTTCAACTTAACTTGGTAGCCCTCCCAAAAGCCGAAGTTTTCATTTTTCTACGTAATATTTCCTTGTTTCAGATACTTGCAGCACAACAACATTGCAACTGTGGAGCCTGGTGCATTCTTTGGGCTTAGCAAACTCAAAAAACTGTAAGTTTCTCCTTCCACACACTTTTAAGGACTGCATTAGTGTCTTGTTGGTTTAGTGAACGACTAACTTATCTTCTGACTTATGTTATGATTTGGTTTTATCATCTAGTTGACTGTTAATATATGAAAACATATGAGTTGACACGTCAATTGACCACCGTATAGAGTTTCTAAAGCTGAAGTTTCAAGCGTTAGTCCTTCGTTAGTCCTTCGTCAGAGCGAACTCTTAATGGTGGCTACTTTATATTAACGACTCAGTTGATAAAACCAAATCATTACGTTACACCTCTCATAAACCGACGCACCACCACAACGAATCGGGGAGACGTTTTCCGGGAGTCTGGCACTAATAATGAGGTGCTATAGCGCTCGCCTCATACTTTCCCGCGGGCGAAGAAACACTCGTCCCGAAACGCTAACAATGAAGGCCTGGTCGCAGTGACTAAGTGACAAGATGAAAAGTTGTTAGATCGAAAGACCGACAAGTGAGCAACAAGTACCCTCCATATTACACAGTGGCTGACGTTCTTAACAAGAGACCTTCTATAACTTGTAAAAGGCATTTGGTAGACTAGATACAATTTTATTCTACCTTTTCAGAGATATGAGTTTTAACAAACTAGAAACTCTAATAGATGACGCGTTTCGGGTTCTGACACTGAAAAATCTGTAAGTGACGAAGAAATTTCTTTGTTTAAATGCTCTCTAGGCAGTTCATTTGATTGACTGGCTCTTAAAATTTGCTGAGATCAGCGGTTGTTCCATAGATTGTGTTACTGACCAGTTACTTTTTTTGACTGATCTTGACTGACAATGTGATTGACCGACAGATTAAGTGAAGAACAGGCTGACTGACAAATAGTCAGACAGACGGACGGACGTTCTGATAGACAGACAGACTCTTACTGACCAAAACTGACTGACTAGCGGACTTGCTCCTTGACTTGTTGATTGACAGATTCTTTGACTGACCAGCTGACTGCCTGATGACTATTTTGCCGAATCATTGACTGAATGACTATCTTTCTGAGTGAGTTACGGACTGACTGACCGTATGGCTGGTTACTAAATGACGACCGACCAGATGATTAGCAGGTTGACTTGAAGACATGCAGATTGCTGACAGAGTGACTGACTGACTGACTAATCGACTGACTGACTGATAACTGACTGACTGACAGACTGAGTGACTGATGACTGACTGACTACCTGACGGTGTCATGACTGACTGACGGACTACCTAGATCGCTGGCTAGCTGACTGCCTCACTGCTTAAATAAATAACTTATCAACCAATTGGCTGATTTCCCTTATTTTATTGATGACGTCAGGATCTAACAAACGTTAACAGCTTGGTATTATGTTTAATACATATACATGTACATGAAAGTCCTTTTCTGTTCAGTTCCTTGCAGCATAATGCGATCACAATCATACAACCTAAAGCTTTCGCCGGACTTCGAAATCTGGAATTTCTGTATGTTTAATCTTGACTATATCAGATTTACTTTGTTTTTATTAAAGTTGGGTGAACTATTTTGACCCTTAAAGTTATGCATGTTATACTAGAACGTTTCTTTTATATTTTGCAGCGATCTCAGTTATAACAAAGTTGTGATTGTGTCTCTGGATGTGTTCAAGGGTCTTAGTAATCTAAAAACCATGTAAGTGTTTTGCTATACATGTTTTAACAAATTTTAAACCAGTCAAATTTAATCATGAGCTATTACTAAGAAAAATCATGTTATCTAGTAAACAAAATCATCGAAACTGTTTCCTGAAGCAGAGATTCAGGACTGAAAATACTTGAAAGAATAAAGCTCGAAGAACTCGAGTAAAGCGATAGGAACGTTTAAGCCATGAATTTATTTCATGATGAGATGGGCATGCTCAGAACCCTACTAGATGTAAGGGTGCCAGACTATTAACACAGATAACATGATGATTAGCCTGAAGTAGTTTTCAATGATGTGTTGGCCAGGGAAATCTGGGACTCGATTCACCCTGGTTTACTGCACTTCAGAATTGATCTTAAGACTCGTACCACCTTTTCAACCAATCATATTCAAAGCTGAGACCAATCGCAGTTTGGTAATTGGCATTCTCGCGCGCTTGAAGTTATTTTTAAAAAATGAGTTTCGAGTTTACATCGGCTCCTTGGTATACTGACCTTCATTGTCTTTTAGTTGTGGTAATTCCTTAAGGTTTGGCTTTACGATACACAATCTAACCAGTCTTATCCAAGGTGGAGCGAGTTAACTTTGTTTCAGTTTTGGTGATATGATCATTCTCGTTTCCAAGATCTCTCTCCCTCGCTTTCCTGGCGGAAGAAAATCGCTGGGACCGAGATTGTACAATTTTCCTTATGTATTCTGTTTTTTTGTTATGTAACAAGAAACCTGGACGGGAGCAATATAACAAACCCATCTGCTGTTAACGAAACAAATAAGGCAAACAAGACACAAGGGAATCAAAAGAGGTCCTTCAATAACAGCGGATGCTCCCGGATTCAACAAAAACAAGTTGTATTTCAGGTCTCGAGAAACAGGAAGGTGTGTTTCCAAAGACGAAACTGCACCCTGTCTCTTACTGTGGTAAATAAGACTAAAACTGTGCCAGAGAGATTTGATATTTGTTGGGATTTAATAAAAAAACTTCGCCCTCTCTTGTTCATCTTGGGAACCATCGCAACTTTTACCAATATGCTGGTTATTATAACAGTTGTATTGACTAAAAGCCTTCGAAGACGTCCGCCATTTTTATTGGTTTCAGCGACGGCAGTATGCGACTTTTTGATTGGTATTTACTCGTTTGGAATGGCTTTCGGGCATGGCTATGACCTTCAGGAATTCAAAGCTTGGCAGGACATCTACTGTACCTACTTAAGGTATCTGTTTATCTTAGCAGAAGTTGATGGAGGACTGACGTCACTGTTGATGACTATTGAACGATATGTTGCCATCGTTTTCTGTATGAACCCTGACATAAGGCTAGGCTACAAAGCTTTACGAATAGCACTCCCGCTGACTTGGATTACGGGCGCCACATCAGCAACTTTAGCGCAAATTTTTGACATGAGACATAACGCGAAACCCGGGAGAATGTGTCTTTTTCACAGAAACTCCGACAAAATACCCTCCATTTTTATTAGCGATATAGTGTTGCTGTTTCTAGTATTTACCTATCTCCTCGTCGTATTTCTTTATTTGCATATTTTCGTCGTTGTGCGAAAATCTGCGCGCAGGGCAGGCACACGTAGAGAATCGCAATTAGCCAAGCGAATTAGTTTGATTGTTCTTACAAGTTTCGTGTTTTTCGCTGTGCCTAATTTTGCTCTGGCGTGGTTTATCATAAATGGAGGACGTGTTTTCGAAGATGTTAGAATGAATCGTACTCTGCTGTGGTGGCTTCCTCCTGTTTGTTTGGTGGTGAATGCCTGTCTTAACCCTTTCATATTCGCGTTTAAAAATGACAAGTTCACTAGATCTCTTAAAAGACTAGCAGGCCGTCCTCTCAGAGGGCTTTTAATGATTAAGAAAAAGAACAGAGGTGGTCAACCATTTGCGTTACAGTCTCCTGCTGTCTCTCAAGGAAGCCTTAATCAAGGAATGGACTCTATCTCTGAAACTCGTTGCTGAAGCAACAGATGCAGCTTTGCGTTAATATCATGAAAAAAGAGAAGGAAAAGAGAGGTAGAATCAAATGATGAGAGAAGGAAAAAAATGAATGGAAGGGGGGATGAAACAAAATGAAAGAAAGAAATAAAGAAGAATGAAAGGAAGGAAGAGAGAATGTAAGAAAGCAGGAACGATATGCATGATCAACAAGATATTGCCTGATTTCGTATCAGTAGGATCATACACATATTTAATTTAACCGCTCACTTAACTGAACTAAAGAGAATGTATATGTCGTACCTTACTCCAGCTCGCTACAATATCAAAAAGGCGTCGGAATAAAGTGAAGACAAGTGAAAATTTGTGACAGACACAATGAATAGATCATGTCAGCCTTTGAAATCAATAAAGTTCACTTACTATTCAACTCGATTCGAAGCAACTCGTAATGATAAAAAATTCAGTCAAGCGACGTTCCTTGTCAGAACATGGAGTTAAATCATCATTGTCGCTACAATTTACGTGCATTTTTGGCATATATTTTTTGATTTCCTCACAGTATTCTCACGAATTCATAACACTATTAAGTACTATGTTCTAGTTTACGGCTGGTCTAAATCGGATCTCGAATCCTGGGTTGATACACGCGCATACGAAAGACACCACTGAAAGCAACACAAGGTCGTTCCTTCTTTTCCTATTCGTTGGGGCGTTCTCATATCGAATTCGAAGTGGCCAACTGAAATCATCGCATCAAGAAATTATCTCAGTATCGTTACGATCATAGCTTAAAGAATGGTCACAATTTTGAGACGTCTTCGTGTCAATTGAAATACCTCCAAAAAAAGTCGAATTTCATCATATAACAATAATTTTCGCTTTAAATCACAGCCACGTAACAAAATATACACAAAATAAGTTGTTTCTTACCAGTGTCTGTGGGTTTTGATTAATTATCGAGGGTTTTTGTCCAACCGGTCTTCCTAAAACGGTCTTGATCTCAAGGGGTCTTACTCTAAACTGAAATGCACTAATCACGTAGGCGTCGATCCAACTGGATAAAAATAATTTACTGCTCTATTAAACGGAAGCGGTTACGACAAAGGGTTGACGCTCGAAACATTAGCATCAGAAACTCTTTATGGTGGCCGGTAGACATAGTAAAACCAGACAATTACAGTCCGACTTGTAATAATCCTTTACACCCTAAAAGTGATAAGCATCTAATTTCTCCTTGCTTTATCACCCCTGAATCACACATTAAAGTCACAAGATAAAGGAAATGATCGCCGACTATAAAGCTCTTGATTGTTAAACAAATTCTCCTTGTCAACACCTGAAGAAGTGTATGATGAACTGTATGAAGAATATGCATGGGTGTAAATGGTTAACGGCGGTCACCCACGCGGAATGGCGGGGTGGTTCATGCGTCAGCTGAGCATCTATCGAGATATGAAACACCTTGAAAGTTTTTGAAGCACTCAAGAAGCTACAGTTCCTTTCGGCTGCGCCTTGAGCAAGTTTTACGCATCTTTCGTGCTCTCATAACTTTCCGCAGGTAGATAACTAGGTTCAGATAAGCATAGAGGAGGTAAGTTTCTCAAGAAACTGTGGTGCTGCGTCGGTGGAAGAGTATAACAGGGTAATTTATTATTATCAACTGAGTTGACAAAGTAAATTTGCCACCGTAAAGAGTTTCAAAGCTGAATCTCTGCCGTGGATATATGGATGGTATAACACCGAAGGAAATGAAAATCGTTGCCAAGGAGATCTGCTACAATGTTGCTCACAGAAGCAAAATGAGCAACGATGAAGGAAAATATCCAACTCAATGGAAAATTGATAAAGTCAGTCTTGCACAAGGGAAGTGATAATGACGAGTGTGGTAATTACAGACCACTGACTATGTTGAGCATCCATAGTAAAATCACAGAATCTATCATTTGTGATACGATCGACCCTCATTTAAATGAGATGTTGCAGAAACACTAGTGGGGATACGGAAAGGGTCAGTCATCTGAGTCACTCTTGTACCTGACGGAATCCTGGAAACGGTCCATAGGTGAAGGGAAAGTTGTAGGAGCTATTTTTATGGATTTCAGAAAGGTTTTGGACTCAGTCAGTCACGACATTTTACACTATAAAAATGCATGCTTGCGGCTTGAGTGGACAGTTATCTTGCTGGTCGCAGAGCTATGTATCAAGTCGACAACAGTTTGTAGAGTTAAATGGCATCCTATCTCCTCCACCAGAAGTGAGATATGGAGTTCCTCTGGGTTCACGTTAAGCCCCAGGACTTTGTTCCAGTTGTGTAAACAATTTTTCTGATTGTATATCCCAAGGTGAAGCACACCTTTATGCGGATGATACAACAGCTTTCGTAATTGGAATTATAACATAGCCAGTATATTTGTGTTATCAAATTCAATTGCGCGAGCGTGCTTCATATTCCTATTGTGCACGCTCGTGACGTCAGCGAACAAATCCCTCGAGAAAAAAATTTTCCATCGGGTTGAAAATGTTATAAAACAATTGGTTCATACATCAGCTGTGCGTTCATCGAGATATGAAGCACTTGGGAGGTTTGGAGAGTACTCGAGAAGCTAGAGTTGCTCTTGGCTACGCCTCGAGCAACTCTTACGCATCTTTCGTGCTCTCCAAACTTCCCGCGTGCTTCATATCTCAATGAACGCACGCTGACGTATGAACCAATTGTTAAATAGCGCCAATGAGGTTGTAGTAAATCTGCTCTTTATAGAGATCCGCACTTGGTGTGAACTTAACAAACTTACCCTACATACTTGAAAAACTGAAGTAACGATAATGTAAAAAGACGAATATGTAGGACCTTTATTATCAGTTAGATGTGGCGATAAATTGCTAGAATATACCACCAAAACAAAACTATTAGGAGTTCTGACTGATAACCGACTGCTATGGAGAAAACATGTTGATAAAGCACTAAAAGCTTTTGATAACCAGCTACATGTCTTGAGGAAGATGAGTTATCTTCCATAACATCTATCGGAAAAAATTTATTTTCAGACTGTAATACCTCGAGTGGCTTATTGTATCAGAGTCTGGGGTAGTTGATCTGTTGCTATCTTTACTGAAATGGAAAACTCGCACATCAAGGTAGGTACAAATATTCATAAAAATTCGAAGAACTATTTGGACCATGAAGTCCTTGACCTTATCAAGTGCAAGACTGAGGATACCTATATGAAAGAAGGTTAGTAATTGAAGTTTTCAAAGTCAAGCAAGGCCTGAACAGCAGATTACTTCCGTTTGTCATTTTTACTGAATCGAAGCGCAAAGGCCCACTCCTTGAAATCAAACTTATAAAACAGATCTTGAGAGGAACAGTTTCTATTTCAGGACCCCGACTGTATGGAAATCTCTTGACAGTTCATCTAGGCTCTTAAATAAACTTGATAATTACAAACAAATAAGCTAAAATGCAACAAAACTCGGTTAAGAAAAGTGACATTTGTTCCAGGAACCATTACTAATCTTAACAAAGATGTAAACAGTTTCATTTATTATCAACTTATTAGTGGTATTTTAAAGTGATCTATTTTCTTATTCTGTAAAAACTTTTTTTTATGCTAAGTTTAATTAACAGTCTTGTATATATTCTGTAAAATTTTCTGTAAATATTTTTAATAAAGATTCAATTCATAATTTTGTACATTGTTGTATAAAAATTTCTATAAAAATGTTTTAGGTAGGTCCACATCAGCTCTTTAAGCTGCCACTTTTCGACCTACTTTAACAAATCATGTATGTATGTGTATATGACGTTTCGAGCGTTAGCCCTTCGTCATTCGCTATGACGAAGGGCTAACGCTCGCGCTCGAAACGTCAGCTTTTAAACTCTCTACTGTGGCCAATTTACGTTATCAACACAGTCGATAATACTAAGTTACTCAGATTAGCATAATGCCGGCATGCGTCAAGTATGCTTGAAGTTTTCAGAGTCGTTTTTATAGCATATCCGTCTCAAATGGTGTTTCTAGTACTTCTCTGTAATGTTTGAGGCTAAGCTATTTCATTAAAGGCCTGGTTACAACCTCAAGTTTTCAGAAATAGAATTTGGACCAATCAGATGTTGATTAAAATGCTATTTTACTTGTCGGTGGTAGGGCAGGGAAGAGGAGGAGGTGAGGGGAGGGGGTGGTAGGGCTCTTTTTTAAATAATACTTTAACGTACATTTATAATTTAATTAGACGCCATCTTGGAGTGTGTCTACGGATCATTCGTTGGTAACGATGCAAAGCCACCCATGTCCTCTCTCGAGGACAGCCATAAAATGCAACAGGCTTAACCTGTTTGAAAGTAAAAAGTTAAAGACAGTAAGCGTGACCGAAATAGGCGTGAGCCCTTCAATTATGGTAGAAAAAATAAGACCTTTATTCGCAGACAAAATCGAACCGAAAGCAAATCAGTTCATTCTGTTTAATATTCAAAAAAATACAACCGACCTCCCCGACGTTATGTTGAACCGAGACCATTTCGGTGCATGCATGGATTACGGGGTTGAAGTCTTTGATGATTGATTAATATAAACAACGCAACCACCGGAATACACTTCACCTTAATGGCAAAGTAAATACAAAAAATCATACCTGAAAGTGTGACATGCAGACTCTCGCCAGCTTTGAACAGAATTCCACAAGAATCGAAGTCAATTGAGAGCTGTTCAGCGTTCTAGTCAAAAAGACACAAAATAAATTCACAATAAACTTAATTCAACCGCCCAATAGCGTTTTACGGTCTTTAGAGTTCATTTTCGCAAAAGAAAGATGTTTTACCTGAGCCACTGTTGTGACCAGCAACTCGTTAATACCTCCTGCCATGCGCGCTAAGGCCGAGGAGGCACGTGACTTGAGAGTGAGCTGTGATAGGCGTAGTTCTCCATGATGAACACAAAGCTGGAAAACGAACAAAAGTGGATACTGAAGGCTAAAATTTACCGGCATTGCAAACACAAGCGTATATCTAAGGTTCATGAACATCTGTTTGAGTTCTGTCGTGTGAAAACGAAACACAGCATCAGCGAAAAACTGTGTCTGTTCTAAACTTTGGCTATATTCACTGGGGCAAAGGAAAAAACTTCATACAAAAAAAAATCATAATATTTTACCTCAGCAGTTCCATCTCTCATTTCTTCATCTCCCTTCTGTTTAAACTGACCCCAAGCAGTGGCAGTGATAAAAAAGCCACAGAAGTCTGATGGATTAATTCGCGGTGCAAACCCAAGGCTGATCAAAGGGTCCCCAACCTCGGACAACTTCCAAGTCTGGTAAAAAAAATAATTCAAGAAAAAGTGAAGACTTACGCTCAATCCTGATTTTTTAATCCTTCACGCCCAAATCTCAGTATGTATATTCTCCCTACAGTTCTCTATAGCTTTCCTAAGGTGTTAAGAAGTAGATTTGGTTTAACAATCTTTAGTTGGTGATCATTTCTATTATCTTGTAACCTTAATGTGTGATTCAGGGGTGATCCTGTATGGAGAAATTAGACGCAAGTCACATTTTCAATCCATATCATCTTATTCTTATCAATTTGAGGTCGCAATAATCTTGGTTAACTCAGCTCAGTTCAGGTGACGTCACGTCGTGACGTCAGTAAAGAGAGACACAATCCCCTTGACAGACATCATTCTTTTTTTAATGAAAAATCCCTAAGCAGATAGAAGTGTCTCCGTAAGGTGCTTGAAAACTTTTTTTTAACAATCATCAAGCGGGAAAGAAAAGCGCACACAAAACCCCCACGCACACGAGCAAAAGGTTACAACACAAGCACTGGATGTCAATATCATAATTAAGAGCTACTGATAGCGAAGTGCTCCTTACCTGACCTGAGGCGAACTCAAAAAAGGTAAAAGCTGCCATTGGGCGAACATAATGGTCGCCACACTCAATCTCGTTCCAAGGACTGCGTCGAGTGCCGTCATACTTTTCACGGGTGTCGGTCAAAACTAAACCAGAAAAGGTGCAATGTGAACAAAAGAATCTTAAATAAAAGAAGGTAAGAGCGGTGTAAAATCAAACATCCCGAAAGAAGACACTTATGAATGAACAAACGCGCAAACACAAGATAAAATGACTGTCAATACCACTGAGTGCTGTGCTGACCATTGACTGATTCAAACACAATTGAGCATATTCGTACTCCAAACCAGTCCAGGCTCCCTTATAAAGCGAAAAAAGAAATATAAAATACATTAGATTTTAGCTGAGGACACACACTATATCGTTTCAATCTTTGTGTATTCTAAGTTACGAATGCGTGAGCGTGACACAGGTAGAAACGTTTGTGAACAAGTCTTCACAGATATTAGTCTCTTATGTGTAGGGTGCTTAAGATGGTAACCTGCATAGCTAAATCGTCCCTCTGCAAATAACTATTGCGTGACATGCCATGAGCATGTCCCAACGTCAACAGCCGCTTGACAGCCGACAGGAACACTCAAATCTGACATAAAACCTCATAACACATGCGTCATTCTTTCTTAATATTGCGTGACAAGAAGATAAAGCAGTTACATAAACGAAAGTTTATACACCTGCTGAAACTAACAGGCACGAATTGGACACAATTTGGATGAAATGCACTACTAACCTCACTACTGTGCCGGAAGGGGTCTTCTGGAGGCGACTCAGGCCACCGGCAAATGTAGAGTCCGGCGTCTCGCTGGTCAAAGAACTTCCGGGGATTCTGGTCCGCTAGTAGACATAATTCAAATAACGTTACTTAATCTGATATATAATGAAATATTTTCTATTGTCATTTTAACTCTTGACTTGATAATGAAGTGAAGTAACTTCGAAGCGTGGTCAAAATCTTTTAAAGTATTTTGAAGTTTCTGTGTATTTCAATAACGTTTAAGCGTTTAATTTTGCAATCAAATGTTTCTAAAAATTCCTTTTTATACGTAAGATAGTAAATTTAAAAAACCAAATAACGTAACAATCGAAAACTCGTCAAGGTCTGATTATGATGATACATTCTAATAGCTTTTGTATAACAATAATACGAGATTTGAGATGAGAAGTCTTACAAGGATATATATGGATACATAAGAATTAAAACCAAACTTGCGACAATTATCAGGAATAAAATTACGCAAAAAACCTTTTTAGATAAGGTAAACTTACACTAAACGTAAAGTTCGCGGCGACATTACTTGGCAGGTTACGCTGAGTCACATTGCTTGGGTTTCCAACGTTTAAGCTCAAGATAAATTTTATTCTAACATTTGAATTAACAGTGAATTATTATAACTATTATTATCATTAATATTAGTATTAATATTAATACTTTCAGTATCATTGTTCACCTAACCAGAAGGATTCACCCGTCGTAGCCGTTCTCGAAAATGTCACGCAACACTCCTCTCAGCTCTTCTTCTAGCAGCGTTGCGTGACATTTCAAATGACCGCTGCAAAGACGACTACCTATGAAACTTAGCAGACACACGTCACGCTAGAAACAAAAGAAAACCTGCACGAGAGAACCATCTTCATCGACTACAATTTGCCATACCTGGATTAAACGAATCCACGTGATTTCTGGAGTAAATGTTCTCCAAAGTAGACATGACATGCTCCTTTGGTAAAATATCACCGAGCTGCAAAACGTTTGCCCACCACTGGCCAAGCAGACAATCAATGAACGTTCCTAAAATTAAAAATATCTAAGACTCAAGCCCACTGCTTCTCTAATATTGTCACGCAATGCATTCTCCCCTCATCCGCCCCACTCAAAAATTACATTAGAAAGTCACCCTACCGTCGGCAATTTCCTCTTTCGGATTCTCTGGATCTAGCACCTACACAACAATACAGATTACAATTAAGACATAAAAATGCAGAGGTTTAGTGGAAAGGGAGGAAGGGCTGTGATAAGGAAATTTTGTACGGGTTTACTTCGTCCGAAGGTGTAAATCTTTACCCCTTTTTACAAAGGAGTCCTTTAATGATCCAAGATGTGAAACGATGCATTCACTCTCTACCATGAAAGATTCAGTAAAGGATGATTATGGGTAACCTCTAAAAATAATCAAATGGAGTCGTCGCTTGATCCTTTCGAACAACTTAAGAAAGTTTTCCCCTTTTCACATTCGCACTTACGGAAGCCGCGCCCGTTCATTCACCACACGCACGAAAAAGGATCCCCTTTCGGCTAGAGTATCCCTCTATATTCCGGGATGGAAGAGGTGAAGACTTTCTCCCTTTTTCCTCTCTCCTCAATAATCATAGCGACTAGGATCAAAGACTCAGTCGTTGAAGCATTAATAGATGGAGTTCGTTCTTACAAACCGTAGCAAAAACGTAAACGCGTACGTCGCCAACTAAAAAATTACAGTTCACGTATGACTCAGACATAATGAGTTGCAGAAAAAAGAAACAAAAGCAGATCAAAGAATTCAGATCAAATTCACTTGCATTCTTTAGAACAAATTCAAACGGATTGCTACCTCGTCCTGATAAAGAGGCTCTGAGCTATGCCACTCCTGGGTCACCATGAAGGGCACTGTACACCGAAAGGTTCTTTTTGAGAAAGGGCTTACCTGTGTGTACCATTTTCCGTTTGTGTAACAGGCCTTATCGAGGTTGACACTTCCCAGTTTGAACCTGGCGGAGTACTCATCAGCAAGGTCCTAAAAGGCCCAAAAAATTAAAACATTCAAAGCTTTTCTAGTTAGCGATCTTATCTTAAACAATTGTAGACACCTTCCAAATGCATTAGCCTGCGAACAGGTCATTATCCTGATTAGCCATTCGGCTCGCGCGCGTCTTCGCCCGCGGGAAATTGAGAGGCCTAGAACAGCGAGAGCCGGCGAAAGGTCCACCAGAGGGGGGAGGGACGATAACCTTCCCGCTTCCCGACTCTTCTCAAACTTTACCCCCGTAAGAGAAACGCGCGTCCGGCAGCGCTAATAATAAAGACCTGCTCGCAAGCTGAGAAGCAAAGCTACGACTGGCAATAAGTGGGACACGATTCACTAAACTAGAATCTCCTGGCGATATGGAGGCAAATCAGGTTATTTCACCGTCAAAAATGATTAACTTTTCATTTCAATCAGGAGTAACATGTACTCGAGAATTCCTAACACCCCCCGCACCCCTCCCCCCAGGTGTGTTGTTTTCACAGTTTTACCCCCAAGATCTAATTGTTAATTCTCCCCTCTAGCTGCGACACATTTCCTTGTAAAATAGTTGCGAGAATTCGGTGTTAGCTCAAGATAACAACTTCATGTGGAGTTTAGTATTCTCATTACCTGTTTGCTGGATAATATTTGGATATTGTAGGGAGAAGCTGTATGTTTATCACCTCTGGAAGTTACAAGGTTAAACTATGGAAATACGGAAAAAGTTGGAAAAAACCTTTACTGTACCGATTCTTTTTGAAGTATCGCCATCTCCTCCGCAGCTCTATAACACAATAAGAGGAATAATGGATCAGTTTGGGACAAATCCATCTTTGTACAGTAGCAGTTCATTTGACACTAGGATGCGTCAAAGACACACCTCTATATAGCAAAGTCTTTTCAATCGAAAACAGAAAAATAGCTCAACAAGTCATTCCGATACAAAACGTTAAAATAATACGAGATGAATAAATAAATAAAGTTTACATTCTCCTGTTTTTCTGAATTATTCCGACTAAAAACTCTCTAACATCTCGTTTTAACTTAACAAATAATGATGCAAACTTTCTCCCTAATGAGTGTACAAACATAGGGTTTGCTTTACTTTGCGCTGTGATTGGTCTAGAAATCTCGCGTCTTCCCCTCAACTAATCACTTTGCATTGATTATATTTTTGCACCAAAAGCGACTTCGACACTGGCGTTTTCGCGCGCTGGAGGACGGGTACGCGTGTTTATTCTGAGTTTTCATTGGCTCCATCAAAACTTCTTCTTTATTCTGACTGGCTGTAGCGATGATTTGGTTCCGTTTAATCGACAATCTGTCATGAAAATTCTTTTCGGTTTTCGTGCCATGATTTTCTTTACCGCTGGCCAGAAAATTCTTTCGGTTTTCACACCATAACTAAAACAATGGTGGCTACTAACCGTAATGCACAATGATAAAGACAGCACGTGAAAGTATTCACACCATAGAAACAGATGTCATAAGTGTTAGGCTGAGGAGTACGAATCAAACCTGTGAAGACGAAACATCGACAGAGTGAATAATGCAATTAAAGAAACGCCTGATATCTTTTAACGAAAAATTCTCAATGAGCCAAAAATACAACTACCGAGAGTATTTAAAAATATTTTTTTTACCATCTCCCGAATCTAGTTCCTCCATCCATCGTGCCATGATTTTCTTTACCGCTGGCCATAAACCATTGAACCACTCTTGAGTAGCCCCCTGAAGAACCTGAAATGATGGACAAGAAGGGCCACAATTGCATTTCTCTCATGAGCCTTTAGTGATCTGATTTGAGAGATTTGCCAAATATATATTGGCTTGTAAATAGACTGGGAGTCGAAACACTAAAACCAAAGATATCCCAGCAACCAATCAGAACCAAGGTTTACATTGTCATTAGCCAATAAGAATTAAAAGTGAATTCAAGCAAATTGCTTAAAGCGCGGGAAAACGCGAGTGGTCAAGTCGCATTTGTTCGTAACTTGCATCTGATTGGTTGAGAATATGGCGCGAGTTTTCCTAGACCAATCACAAAGCAAAGTTTATCGAAACCAAAGCAATCCCGGATGACTTTCAACACTCAGTTGAGATAGCTCTGAGAAGAGAAGATCAGCAGAAGAT